TTATTCACCGAAAGCGTCAGGCATTTCGAGGAAGGCGGAGAGTTTTCTGCGAAAAAAAAAGTAGAAAAAGAAAAGAATCAAAATGGGCTTTGATCAGTACAAGAAGTGAATTCATCTTTAAATTAAAATTCAACGGAAGCTCTTTACATCAACAGGTTCCAAGACTATGGAATAAATCTACTCCATTCATGGAATGCGCCCCGTAATTGACTCCCATCCAGAACAACAGTGTTGAATGCGGGTGTGGCCAGCACAGTGACTTGTGGTAGCAAACCGATATACAAGTCAGTGCTTTTCCTCTCAGTCGAGTCTAACAGTGATTATCCGGCCCCAAAGGATGGGTTGGGATATCGATTTAGCTTGGGCGGGTATCGATCCGGGATTCGATTCTCGGGTCGTGTGTGTTAGTACGGCACTTGCTGCTACTCCACCTCCATCTTTACATCAATAAAATAAGCTATTTGAATATTTTGGAAAGTGGAGAAGGGCTGATGTGGGAGGTTAATTTGAGCATCATAGGGAGGTGAGGCGTTTGGTCGTTTGGTCGTGCTGAGAAATGGCCATCTTATTCTCTGCTTAATACCTCTTCTTAACTCCCTTTTTTGCTGCTTTCAGAACAATAGACCTTAAAAGCTTGCGAATTACTTTTTACAGCTATGAAATCCATTTCTGGGAGTTTATGCCAAATTGTCTGGAAGGTGGGTAAAGCCATAAAAATCAATCACTCGAATGATGCCATGAAGAGAAGAAAAGACATAGGTAATGATTACGAAATAAGAGCTAGGTATTTGATTCCGATCCCCAAAGAGAGTAAGAGAAGGATAATACAAATTTCCGTCCAAAAGACTGAGTAAGAGAAGGATAATACAAATTTTCGTCCAAAAGACTGTCTTTTTCTGGAATGCGCCCCACGTCCAACTTTTATTTTAATCCGTAGTAGCATTTGAATGTGAAATTAGCCGATGCAGTCAAGGAGTTAGTTCTAGGATTTAGTCGATGTGCCGTGAAGGCATTTCTTATCAGGTGAGTCTGCCATCAAAACTTCAAAGATGTAGGCATCCATCAATCCAGGCAGGGATTCGACCCCTTTACTGGCTGTCTGGTGGCGACGATACATGCCAATGCACCGCGCTCGTCATGGGGAACTTAAAAGATATCGGGAATGACACCAAAGCGTTGACAATTAATTCTTACATCTAGTAGAGGTGCTGATCAGCCAAGGCCCACGTCATTTTGCTATTCGATCGAGCTACGAGCTTGAAAATTAATCCTTGAATAAGTAAGGGCCAAATAAAGCCATAATGCAACATTTGGCGCCCGTCGATCTGGCCGAGTTGAGCCAGTATGTGTTTATGGCGTCAGATATCCGATGTCGTTTGAGTTCGTGAGAACGACTAAAGAACAACGCTATACGTGTGAACTCATTTACGCAAGCTGGAGTTGATCCCGGCTTAAGGACCCAGGATTTGTACTCGAGGTACCTAAAAAGTGGTCCTTATAATTATAACAAGAGGATAAAGGATGACATAATTTGACGCGGTTCAATCCCCTTCAGGATGCCCACGGATTTGACTCAGAATTGTAGAGGCATATGGCTGGGACCCATCTGGGCCAGGAAGATGTTTTGTACGTCTGCTGCCAGCAATGAATAAAGGAAGCCACCCGATGTACAAGATAGTGGTTTTCCTGAACATCCTTCTGGACAAGTCCGTTACCAGTTAATCGATCCTGGAAAAATCGGAAGCTTAGGTAGCTCGGGTCGGTAAAGGATCTGATCGCGGTACCTCATGTGTGATTCCANATGCTATCAGTCAGGTGTTAAGATCAAATGTCTGAGTGTGCGTACAGAGGAGAATGGGGCAGGGGAGGAGGGGAGGGAAGGAAGATGCTGGGAGGAAAGGTCCGTGCAACCTTGTTTAGGGAAAAAGTTATAAACAAATAAAGCAAGTCTAGTATTAAAAAGAAGATAAAGTATATATCTAACATGGTGCCGCAAACCGACGCAGTTGATATGAAGAGGCTCCGAATGTGGGTCTTAATTGCTAGCGTGCCGAATGATCGTAGTGACAAAACAGAATAAACAACAACGCCATCAAGAACATTGGCACATTCATTAATTCACTGGGCATACACTGAAGGCGATGGAGTTCATAAAAATAGAAATATATGTAGTTTAAAAAGATACAAAAAATTTTATACTGAGGGTGTCAGAGCTTCGCAGGGAAGATCTTAATGAATTTTCGAGATATTCAAGGTGAATATAAGAAAGTGAGTGGGGAGAAGTGGGGAAAAGGACAAGTCATGCTTCAGTTTGGTAATTCGCCCTCATTCACTTTTGCCTGGTTGAAGGTGGATGCAATTGGAGGTTCTGAAATCTACACAAGCTTCAAAATGGTCACGGAGCTGCTCCTAAAATGTACCTGATAAGGTTTACGTCCCAATGAGGGATACTCTATAGATATTGACTCGAAATCGAATCAAAAAGTTTCTAGGAAGCAAGATTTTCAGATAGCAAAATGAAGTTATTTCGACCTTGAATAGGGCGAAATTGTTGTGAAGTCCACCCTGTGCGAGTAGAGTTATAGGAGTCAGTAAGGTGGGAGAACCTATACGCTTTGATTTTTGCGAGCTTTCAAATGGGAACTCTCCATCGATCTAATAATCATTTAACATTTCCCAATGGCTTCCCAAAAATCTTTTTGCAAATTCATAATGGATTCATAGGTGATTTCTATTTACCAGGTTCCATGAAAAACTCAAAACGTAAATAACTGGAGTTTATTAAAATGCTGTGATGATGGTTCCCTATGAAGAGAGAGTTGGATTTGCTAAAAAGTTCGATGAGGAATGTTTGCAGAATCGTCGTGGTAGCGCGTTTCTGAGTTCTACTACCCAATGGGCGTGGCAATTACGGGATCAGGTCCGAAGCTTTTCAGCTCTCCAGTAATTTTCCACTTTCCCAGGGTGAGAGTGGTGTGAGGTTGTTGGCCAAGTAAACACCAGAGTCCTTTTATGGCTCTTCACCGAGAATGTCACGCTAGAACAACCATTTCAGGGAGGGGACACCCAGGTCCACTCAGATGGGCGTAGGAATACCGATTGCATGGACTGAAAATCAACCTTTGTATCTGATTTTGTCCTTGCCATCAAACTCTTTCATCCTGATGGAAGGTTCATTTCGGTCTAATCCGAATCCGAATTCTAAAGGCGGAAATCGTTATTTTTGAATACCTCCAGAGGTTACTGCATAAGCCACGTAAAGTAAACCTTCAGTAAGCGCTGTGACTCAGAACTGGAATAAAAAGGATGGTACATTCGAAAAGTCCTTTTCAAGGGTTCAGTTACGTCTT